GACTCCTGGGTTCTCGCCTGGCTCTGGGGATTGGCAGTGGGGTCTGGGGGGTTAGAGCAGGGGGCTGGAAGCCAGGACTCCTGGGTTCCATCTCTGGCCTTGCTGCTCACTCTGTGTGACCTGGGGCAGACACACTCTCTCGGGCAGGTTCCCAGCAGTAATGCTGCCTGGGCTCTGGGCACGGGGCCAGGTCTCTGCCCCACCCACAGGTACCTCCTCCAGGGCCTTGCCAGGAACACGGCCTCCGGCCAGTGCCCCCAGCTCCCCCGGCCCGAGCTGCCCGCAGACCCAGGAAGGTGAAGGACACGGGGGGAAGGGCACAGGGGGAAGGGCGAAGTGGTGGCAGCAGCTCCTGGCATGCTGACGAGCCTGTGCCCTGGCAGCGGCACCCCCAAGCCACGTTGTCCTGCCCTGAGCTGCAGAGAACCGCCAGTTGGTGCCCACCTCCGGGGCAGCTGGCACCAGACCCAGGCCCGACAATGCTTCCCCCTTCCTCTCCGAGCCCCCCTTCACTCAGCGGAGAGACCTGGGAACAAGGATGGACCCACGGGACCGTGGCCGCCCCACAGGGACCCAACCCCTCCCTCTCTGGGGCAGCCCACCCCATGGGGACCAGCCCTCCCGCTGCAGGAGGGCACTGCTCTGGGGAAGCTTGCACCGCTGGGGTCCCTGCCTGCTCTGGTACTCCCCAGGTGACGGGCATGGCCCGGGGCCGGCAGTAGCTGGGTGTGAGGGGCGAGGGCAGGGCCCTCCATGGGTTACGCCCCCCCCATGGGCCAGGGGGCTGAGCGCAGCTGACAGGCGGGGGCTGGGGCCCACAGACCAGCACCAGGCAATACAATGGGCAGAAAAATGACCATAGAGCCATAACATGCACATGTGGGGCCCTCGAGCAGAGGCAGCAGCACCTGCCCCGCCCCAAAACCCACCTCCCCTCCAGGAGACCCCCACATCCTGGGCAGGGAGGGGCTGCCCCTCGTGCTCAGCTCCAGCACCCTCAAACCAGGGGTCGGGGAGGCAGTGCCTGGGGACACCCCCCCCCCCAGACCAGCACTGCACGGAGGGGAGGGGAGGGGCGCTGCGAGACGGGCCCCAGACCAGCTGGCCTGGCCCATCCCCGCCCCCCGCCCCGGCTCTGCCAGCCCCTCCCTGCGGAGGTTGCACTTTGGAGGCCGGGGATCTTGTTCGGGGGCGGTGGGAAGGGCTGAGTGCAGAGGCCATATTGCCCCAGAACAGCCCCTCCCCAATGGGGCTCTGGCTTAGGATGCCCCAGCGCTGGGACAGAGCCCTGGACATGGGCTCGGGGCAGGACCTGGCCCTGGCGCAGGGTGGGGGCTGCAGGGCGGCCTGGCCCAGTGATGCTGGGTCCCTGATCTTTGCCCTGGGGGGCTCATGGCTCTGGCAGCGCCACTGTGGGTAAGTTCAGTGCGAGGCCCCACAGCCGGCCAGCGGGATGGGCAGCTCCCCACGCGCCTCCCCTGCAGGGTGGGCTGACGGCTGCCCCCACCAGACACTGAGAGCTGTATCATTGGCGAGCTCAGCGCCCTGGTGCCAGGGTGGGGG